TAATATGGTAAATTGAATAAAGGCTAACAGCTACCTACCCTTTTTCAACTCGAATCTCATCATACCACGAGACTACAAAATTCTGATTAGGGGCATTTGGAGAACATGGCTTGAGGTTTACACTCTCCATGGCTTTAAGTGCACCACCATCAATGCAAAGTGTTGAATTTATAAAAGACCGGATGAGACCTTTGGCTGCTGGGATGGGTTCAATCATAGGATAACGTTTGATAAGATCAAAGGCGACCGTTTTCATAAACCAGTCAAACGATTTACACTTCAAGCGCTGACGCAAAGCTTTTTGTTGTGAGAGATCTCCAGGATCAATATCACGATAATGTGGGCGACGATCATAAATATATTCCTTGTATTCGTCCATCCAAACTTCTGCTACACGTCTAAGCAGAATATAATAAAATATGAAATAATGCTAGGGATAGATTGATTAAAGTATCAAAAGAATTTAATTGTCGAATGAAAGATAAATTCGCTATAAAAAGAATATTATAGAATAAAATGAATGTCATATTAGGGGATTTAAGCAATAATTTAGAGAAATATTTACCCACAATAGGATGGACTGGTCATATGGATTATAGAATATCCCAGTTTAATATAGACTCAGTATAAGTTTACTTATCATTAGTGCTGAAGTGTGCTCACCTATAGTTTACACCAATGAAATCCCCGATCCCTGGATTTGGAAAAACAGACTTCCGACGATATACGTGCCCTATGCGAGAGCATGGTGTATCAATAATTTTACCCCCACACATCCATATTTTGAAAGACAATTCATACTGTTCGCCCCCCCATATCATCAAACCGGGATCATACCCCCCCAGTTCCCAAAACCATTTTGAGCTTATGACAAATAGGCCACCTGCCATGATCGGGCTGTCAAATGGTTGGGACGGATGCTTAGCATCCTCAGGCAAACGAGGCAGACGTTTGTAGAAAAATTCCCAATCAAACGCTCCTCTGGCACCTTCATCTTGTGCACGATATTCGAATGTAAAAGCATCAATCACGTCGATAAAAGGGCACACAACCGTTCTATAATCCTGAGCAATAGGATCAAGCAAAGGTGGAAGCCAATTTGTGCCTACTTCACAATGAGAATCCAAAAATAGCATAACTTCGCCGGTACAATTCCGTGCCCCAGTCAGGCGAGCGGCCATTAGACCAACTCGCTTTATATGACGCAAGACACGAACATTTCCAAGAGGGTAATTATTAGCTAAATATTCTTCAAGAGGTCCTTTGAGACTGGGCTTAGTACTTCCATCATCGACAAGTATAACGTCTTTTATTAAGTGCTTTGGAGCTCTAAACATCGCCGACTCAACCGTTCGTAAAAGGGTTGATAAGTGTTCATTGTAAAAAGGAATAATTATGGAAGTCGTAGGAAGATTTTCATAATAGAGCGCTTTCTTGCAATCAGGGTGTCGAATGTCCTTAATAGATCTGGTCAGAGACATTTTGTCGCTCACGAGACCATTGTACCCATTTACAAGGAAAATCCGATCGTTTTCTTCCTTTTCAAATGATTCGATGACGATTGCAGAACCGTGTTCTCCTGGTCCGTGCTTTCTTTTCTCTAATTCTATTTGGGCATAATTATGCCAGTCGATTTTCCGCCCAATAGGATCCTTGGGATTAAGATCATGATCCAAATGACGAATAAAAGAAATATCATTAAATACGGGCCACATTTGCGAGCTTATATTGATGATTGCAAATACAAATGCAAAAATCAAAAAATATTTTGCAACTCTAAAGATTCCACGATTCATCCTACAGGTCGGAGAACGAGTTTGAGGGAAGATGCGAAATGCGCGGGAAGAAATAGGGCATGTGTTACACATTGAGAAGGAGAGGAGATGAGGAAATTAGAAAACCTCATAAATTATTAAGATAGTCTATATATAGCATTATTTAAATGGCTTATGCTTAAAATACGGATGTTTACATGGTTTTGGGGTTAAAGTTATATTTATACAGAAGTAAATACTTATTTAAAATAAGAAGCAAATGTATGGGATAAGCATGTTAGTGATCAAGTAGTCAGAAGAAGAAGAGTTTATGGTATACTAATGACTTCGTTTAGTCCAGAGACCAAGTTTGTTTCGCCCATGACTTATTTTTGTAGAAATTCCAGACCATGTTTTCCTTTTCGCTGAAAGGGCTAGCATAAAGTGTTAACTTATGGAGGGCTTCTTTTCTTACCGCAAAT